AAAGATCTTAAACCTTTAACCAGGTCTATCATTTAAAAATGAAGGGTTCGTTTGTACATAGCCTTTCAGGGCTGCTTCTCCGAGTCTCTAGTGGGACAACTTTACCACAGCAGTGGACAGTTTATTTCAGGGAAGCTGCACTTTCTGCAGCTGCTCAGGATTTATGTCTGAGTTTCATATCTTTAAAGGTCAGGTCACAGGAAGAGAACCCCCCCCACCGCACACCTCTACCTTGTGTGTTTCATACATTTTATATTCAGAACATACTAATCTCAGGTGGGCCTGCTCTGAAGTTCTCATCTCCAGAACAGAGGAGGACTTCACCTGCTGCTCCGCTGACTCCAAGCTATGTTCTCTGTGTGTCATTTATTTGCTGGAGCAAAGAAGGACGATAACAATGCTGTTAAAAAGTGGAATCAAAAACTTTATAATTCAGCAGGCTGAGATGTTTTATAGTTTCATGGCTTCTTTTTCCAGTTACCACTGTGTGTATTTGTGTATCTAATAGTAACATGGGACATAAATAGTCCCAGATGCAGAAGCCTCATTAGTGGATCCTCTGCTTTATCACTGAGTGCTTTCACTTCGGTTAGTCTGCTGTTATTATCAATTGGTGCTCATTAATCTTCCATGCAGCTTTCCTTAAGCAGCTCCTGCCACATTAATTGGCCTCCCATTGGAGATGTGTGTAAAACTTCATCCCTCTGAATACCATCATCGTGTTCGGCAGGAACAAAGTTCTTCATCCTGCATTCCAGTTGGATTATTGCTCTGGTTAGATTGGATGAGCAGCTGTCCTAAAGTGACATGTTGACTTTGTGATCATCACAGCCCCGGTAGCTTATCAGATTTTTACTTCATTCACCTGCTGTTCTCTAATTATCAGCGATATTATTCCCTTTGCTATTTATGCTGTTTATCCCAGCTATCAGGGCCAGATCATTATTCATTACTTGTCATACTGCAGGTCAGGTCTCAGATCAGTTGTTCACCATCACCCAATCTTTTCCCTAGGCTGTACCAGGCAGATCCTGCCAAACTCCATTTTCTGTTCTTTGTTTAATAAAGTTTTCCTTACCTAAACTAACTGTCTCCATGGTAGCCCTGATTCAGAGTCCTTCTTCTCTCATTATGACATTACTATTCTTTGTTTATTCATCTATTCTTAGTTATTTGTTTGTATTTATGTTACTTATTCCTGTATTCTTAGTTTATTTGTGTTAAGTTTTCATGTCAGTTATTCATGTCTGTTTCATTATTTTTGGTTGAGTCCCTGGTTCATGTTACCATCTCCAGAGGCCAGTGGATTGAGAGCGTTTACGGTTTGTCTCCTGTCTTCTACACGTGTTACGGCTCTTCTCTACTGAGCCCTAAGGGTTTTGGCTCGGCGTGTGGGGGGAGCTCGGGTTCTGGCCCTTCTCCGTGGAGCCCTCAAGGTCTTTGCTAGGAACTCAGGGGAGGTCAGTTTTAGTCTCGTAAGCCTGGATCCTAGGAGGAGACCAGTTTAAAGTTCGACACATATCCTGGTGTCTGTCTAAGCACGCTGCTGGACTCATGGAACTCTGAACCTACCTTCATGATCTGTGGATTCATGGAATCCTGGATCTGTCTGTTCCTGTTTGGAACAGAACCCCTGTTCGGACTACAGACTCCTGGATCTCGGAACTGTCCGGTTCTGAACTGTTTCTCTGACCTGGATCGGTCTCCTGCCTGCTCTCTGGGGTTGCTGCAACAGGAACACTTTGGACGGCTCTGAGCAGCATCTCGTTTGGCAGTCCATCGCCTTGATTTTGCTTTCCTCGGAGAGGATGGACTGAACTGTTAAACGGGGTAAGTGACTCACGTAGATAATTATCTCTTTTCTGATGATTGTGGTCACTTACCTCTGTTTGTCTGTCCAGAGTGTCAGTGATTGGGCGGTGCCCCGCCCCCCTCCTGCAGCTGCTGCGGTCCGCTTATCCTCAGCAGCCCGCATCCTGTTCTGTTTTGTTTTAATATTTTTCTGTCATTAAACGTATTAAAACTTCTCACTGTCTGACTCGCCTTGAATATTGGGTCCACCTGTCCTGTCTTTGACAGACATAGATCAGACACAGATCAATCACAGTAAGACTCTGGTCAATTTGATTGATAGAAAGATGATTTTGATAGTGTATTATTCTTGTGAAATCCATATTCATATTCAGGTATGATATTTTGAGCACAAACTTCAGAACAAAAAACTTATTTTCATTGACTCTAATTTGAAACATCATAAAAATAAATGATACATGGATTAACATGGGTCATGTGTGTAGAGTTTTGCCCACTTTTAAATAAAAATCCCATTTATGGCATGATCAAAGTCAAGTTATGGCCACTGATTCTCTTCCTTGGTCCATCAAGGGCTTCCAGACACAACAGTTGATGGGATCTGCCTGCGTTGCCAGTTTCTTATTGATTAATACCTACACACATGTGTAGGTATTAATCATCATCTTTCTATTGAGTGATTGATCACTGCCATCTGAAAGACTGCTGCATTTGATTTCATTGTTTTGTAAAATGGCTCAAAAGTAGTACAGTAGAGTAGAAAATGATTTCCCAAAATATTGATTTCAGAGACGTTGCAGTCAGGAGCTAACTTGCAGAAGCACAAAGCACTAAGGAATTTTTTTTCTTGGTTGTAAAATTTGTGTTGTAATTTTGTTTAGGAAATTGAAAAACAAGGTTTGTCTGACACTAAAAACAAGTGGGTCATAAATAACACAANTTTTTTTTCTTGGTTGTAAAATTTGTGTTGTAATGTTTATTATACAGATGTAACACAAATTTTTTTAGACACTAAAAACAAGTGGGTCATAAATAACACAAAGTGGGTTCCAGCCAGTCCTCTCTGTTGAGTTGAGGCAGCAAGATGGGCTAGTCCATTATAACCCAACAGATGGGTTATAATATTCTACCCTAATTCTGGGTCACATTAACTGCAAATTTTTATAAATACCACACATTTCTTATTGCGTCTACTTAAATGCTGGGTCAAATTAACCACAGTTCTTATTTTTTTCACCAGCTACATACATTTGTTTAAATGCTTTGTAAAACTCCCCAATACCTCAGTTAATTCTAACATATTACAGTACAATTATTAGGCAAATAAATTGCAGTAGACCATGTTTCTAAAAAAAAAAAAAAAAAACATGCTAATTTAGTCATGCAAAGCAGGTTTTATGCAATAAACATGATACTGGAATGTTTACAAGACACCACCTTAAAATCTATCAATATTTAATTATCACAATGCAAAAAAGAAGTGTTTAAATAAGTGTCATTAAAACAATGTGCAGCTGTGTATAACAACTGAGAAGAGCAACGGGTCAAGTTTCAAGCTGGTAACATGCTGTCCTCCAGGCTGTTAGCTCCACTGGCAGCAAATGTTCTAGATCTAGGTACTGGGTCAACCACTATATGTTGGTTTGATGGATTTGAATAAGATTTTGACACCATTCATGGGTTCGATTAAAAATAACCCAACTACTATAAAATAATTAATGATGGGTGAAGGATTTCATAACTTCATAATTCATAAGTTATATAACCCAGCAATCTTTAAGGTGAATGCAGTGCTGTAAATTATCATTAATTAGAAAAATAATAATTTTGACACAGAGCCTCTGTTGACAACTGCTGGGGGATGTATCGGAGCAAGGTATGCAAAGGTATTCAAATTAACAGCTTTTGTTCGCACCTAGCTTGCTTCCTGCAGGGTGATTCTAAAGAAACTGTGAAGTCTGGAAGCAAAGTTTACTTTTCACTTTATACTTCATCTGTTTTAGCCATGGAAATAATCAAAGGTTAATTATAAACATGTTAAAAAGCAATGCAGCTGTGAGGGATAATTTATCTGAACAAAATGCCAGAAATAGGTATTTTCTTTAAATAATCTGTACCTTTCAGTCTGTTCAGTTCATAATCCAGTCATGATAATAAAATGTTCCAAATGTTATTTTTTCCCTCCTAAAATCTGTTTCCAAATAAAGACCAGGTGACAAGGTGAATGCTGGGTCTTGATCAGGTAGTAAGGCTGTCATTCGATCCTGTTACCAAAATGCATTGTATCAACAACCAAATCCCTCAGAGCTTTGAACAGAGAAGGTCTGTGGCCCTCTGAGATCCCCTTATATTTGTTTTGGGGCTTATTTCACTTCATTGTTGGCAAGAAGCAGGGTTCCCACCAAATTCCAGAAATAAATCACTCTTCCTCTCCTCAGGCTTTTCTCACACTCAGAACATTTGCCTTCGCCTTTACCCAGCATCGCCCCAATGTTGCAGGCTGATTATTTTTATTTGTCTATTTATTGTTCTCCCTGTGTCTCCTTACATCATGTCCTTCAATGTAATAACTTCCAGTGTTTTTAGCAACAAGTCCTCCAGGGATTCCAAGAAACAAACGAGGGGAGATTTCATACGAATGATGTGAAATAACTTTGAAATGTTTATGGTTTGGATAAAATTGATCTGGAAAACAAATAACAGGAGAACATCTGATAAAGTAGAAGCTATCATAAATGGTTTAAAGTTGCTGTCAGGCTTGCTGGCTAAAATGTCTGAATAGAGTCACACAGAAAAGACAAATTGGCTAGAAAATCCAAACGTGAAGAATAAAGTGCTTTATTAAATTAATTTCCAAAGTTAAAAATGGTTTTATCTTCTAACTTCTCTCAGTTTTCTGAAGCATCTAATACTTTGAGGACATTAACTGACTAATGCAGTCCTTTTTGTGGTCAAACTTGGGTCTGGACGGGAGAAATGAGAAGCGAATTACGCGTATCGAGTTCCCACCATCCAAGCGGTTCACATCCTCTCTGCTGACATTAGCAACCCTGAGGGCTGGGTTCCTGAGTAGGTCACAGTGCACTTTAAATCACTCCCAGACGCCTCTTTCAGCCAGAGCCAGCTAAGAAACAGAGGGGACGCCTTTATCCTAAGACAAACAGTGCAACATCTTCACCAGATCCTGACAAATGGAAGAGAAAGCAATTTATTGGTGTAAACAGCAGCACTGATGTAAAGGTAAAACGAGGAAAACACACACAACCAATCACAGGTTTTTATAAATCCCTTTGATGAATAGTGGTAAAATAAACAGTCGAACTGAAAGGTTGTTTGTTCTTCTGTATACAAGTGTGCAAATCACTCAAGGTGTGCAAGTAATAGTGCACGTGCATGCAAATATGCATCATACTCACACAGGTTGGTATTTATTCACTCAACAATGACAGAATATATAGATACGGTAAATAAAAAAGGAATTAATACAATTTCCATATGAAACAACAAACTGACATTTCACAAAACACAAACATTTTATTTTGAATAGATTTGACCCAAGTGTCAAGTTTACCTAATTGAAAAAAGCAACTAAGCTGGTGAGTTTATTTTGCTTGGAAAGAAAGTTCTTACAACCAAAATCAGTCCGAATGCAAACCTTCTGTACTTTTCATAATTTGTGCGCAGAGCTGATCCGTTTAGGAAAAAGAGCTCTGCTTTATAAGCTGTCAGCTATCTGTTGTTTTTATGCGATCCAAACACACTCTGATTAAGCTGAACTTCCTGTCCTTTAGGTTAGGATACATCTTTCTACGTAAACCGCTGCCTGTTTGGATTTAAAGCTAAATACTGCTAAAGGTACATGTGTTAATGTCTGAGTAAAATACACATTATTACTATAATATAACACTTTATAAAAGTGAGCACATTTGGTTATAGGAGCTTAAATACATTTACTGTTGTTTGGTAAAATTCACAGTATTGTGAGAGAAAGTATTTTCAGTACAGATAAGAGTTGATACAAACTTCCCATCATTCAATAGCTTAATGGATCATTTCATCATATGTTTAAGCCAGAAAACCTCCGACTCTTAAAGGTAGGAAACACACGGTAAAGAAATTCCAATCTTAATTTTTGTTATTGTTAAAGCAGATAAGAAGCTGTAGAAGTATTTAACACAATGGAGCCTTTCATCCATAGCGTGAAAGGTTCAGTTTAGGCAACTGGAAGAGCTTCATGTCCAGTTGCCTAAACTGAACCTTAGATATTATTCCATCCATTGGTGTCTGAAGCTAAAATGCATTGTCATAAAGAAAAATTATTCTTTTAAACGGAACAGACTTTTTTCTTTACAAAAAGAACATTTCCAAAGGTCGTCTGAGCGGGATGTGTAGCGTTTAACTGGCAGTAAATAAATTAGTTAGCCCTTAAACTTTCCTTTTTTTGCAGGACAATTGGTGTAGTTTCTGTATTCAAACACTGATTGATTGAAGGAAAGGAACAAACCAAAGTTGGAAGCTGTGGTCATAAGAATCCACTGATTTGGCAGCAGAAAGACAATCAAGGCGGCCGAGAGGGTTGTTTATTAGCGTAGGAGTGTGGGTTTATCATATCATGTATCGCTATCATTATCATAGTCAATTTCCTGTCATTTAATTGATCATCTAAACCAGTGACTCCCAACCAGGGGTACCAGTACCCCTAGTGGTCTGCCAATGCATTACAGGGTACGTGAAAATATCTAATATTTTACTCCCCAGGTAAAGAAATACAATAAAATAGGGCTGGGATGGGTTTTGATCTGTAAGGACTTAAATGCAAAATAAACCAAGAATTTATCAATCAAAAAGATTAAAAAAAATGTCCTCATCAATATTTTCATTGAAAACTAGAGTGGGTATTGTTGCTGTGCACCTGCACTACTTCTCTAATAGTGAAAGCAGGAAGACGGGGGCAAAGACAAAGGTCACAAGTGAAGAACGCACCAAAGAAGCTGCAGTCGAGGATAAATGTGTAAAACGAAAAGAATGACATGTTTGAGTAATACATTTCCAAGATAGGGAAATTAAATAAATATTTTTCATTTTATAATCAGCTGTACATTCTGTTTATGGAAAATAACACGTTAGGCCAAGGGGGGAAACTCTTGGTATGATAATATGGCATAAGGGGTACACAAAAAAGGTTGGCAACCACTGATCTAAACAGTAAATGGGAATTAATGATGGTTTAAAAACTCCAAAACATGGGACAGTTGTCAGAATTTGTTTATTTTATCTTATTTCCAAGGGATTGGCACACTTGACGATTAAATGTGATTATTATGTAATTATTTTTATGTAACTGCTGTCCTGAAGAAGCCTTTCTAAATTTGAATAGTTTTAGAGAGCAATGTATGAGAGTCACCACTATACAGCTACCTGAGAAAGATGTAATAAAGAGTTATACTATCTTCACTTTTATTGTTTTATCATTATGATACTATCATAATGATGTCTGTGGTTTGCATCATGAAATAAAATTAATTTGCACTTTGTCAAAATATTTTCTCTGCCTTTTTACACCACATAACTGGCTGCAGAAGTGACAAGTTTTAATTCATTAGGGTGTGAGGTATTTTTTTCTTGCAGACCACTCTTTGAACCACCAAATGTCAAACATTAGCTCGATGGGACATTTAATAAATGGACAGATGTCCTTACAAATGGTGTCCTTTTTGTTGAAGCTACAGCTAAACTGATGATTAATTGGTGGGAAAAAGTGTAATTAAAAACGATGAAAAAAATTCTTTAAATACTATTGAAAGCAAAGAAATGTAGAAATTTGAAAAAGGAAATTTGAAAGAAATGTGTTTATGAAATTGAACTTTGAAAAATTACTCGATGAAATAAAAGATTTTGATTATACTTTATGTGTATACAAAAGTTCAACCAATTTTTTTAGCTATTTATATTTTAGCTGTTTTTACAGAAATGTAATTCTTAAAATTCAATCTCAAGTGTTTTTGACAGTCCTTCATAACATGTATGCAAAAGTTGACCCCCCCACCAATTTATAAACTAAAACCTAAATAAACTAAAACTTTAAATCAAAAAAGTTTGAAAAAAAGTAATATTTAAAAAAAAAAAAATAGCTTTTTTTATTTTAAGAACCAAAAACTAGGAAAATCAAATCTGAAAAAATAACAAACCTTTAAAAAAGTGGTTAAACATTTGCATACAAATTATAGAAGAACCCTACAAGGCTTTTTTCTTTATTTAAGAATATATTTAAGTTCCATTTTTTAAAATTAATTTTTTATATCTATTTTTGAAGCTTGTTTTTTTTCTTTCAGTAATGTTGGAACAAATTTGTCTCCATAATTGAACTGTTGCTGTTTCACACAGCCAGAGCAAGTCTAGCTAATATAAAGGAGTCATCCTGCAGTTGGTCATCTAGTTTCTTGACTCACAATTTTAGTTATAAGTAGCTATTTGCTCATGGGGTGAGCGTTTTTAAATTTCTCTGCATGGTGCCTGTTAGTTAGATCTCTATGCTTCTGACTTCCTTTCCCCACTGCTCCATTGCTCTAATTTATCCATTTTCTCACATCCAAACTGGAAATGTTGCCAATTTCATATAAAACAACTTTCACCTGCATACTCTTTTTGGTTCCATGTAGTTTTCTCACATATTTATTGATATTTGCATATAGAACTGTATATATCTGTCAGTTAAAATCTCGAAAACAATCTAAAACGAGACATGGTAGAAGTAATAACACACGTCTTTTAACTAGAGCTTACAAGTGCTTTGAAAAAGCAGGTTTGTAACTGTTACCACTGTTTATTCTTAACTCCACAAAATCTTCTAATACTTTACCTGTATTTAACAAAGGTCTTTGCCCACGTTTAATTTGATTTTCGCTCCTCCACTGTTTATTTTTGCCAATGTCTAGAAGGATCAGTAAAAGTAAACAGTGTGGTTCCAGCTAAGTGAGCATGGGTCAAATAAAAGCCAAACCTTCAGTCTTAATAATTATTGTGGTTGGAGTCAGTAACATGCTTGTGGGGTGGAATAATCCCAGTGCGTAGCAGACTTCTGGGAACAGCTTGTAGATGTGTCTCCTTGCAGCCAGCCGTCCCTTGGGCCTTTCTCTCGCTGCATCCTTCCTGGTGTTTCCAGAAACAAACACGCTCTGCTTCTGATTCATTTTTAGAGTTCAGCTGCATCCCTTCAAAGAATACTCCCCATCATCCTCCTCACCCTTCCCTTCCTCTCAGGCTACTATGTCACTATCTGGGGGTGTGGGAACCGTGTGTGTGTGGTTGTATGGGGGTGTGGGGGGATTTTCTCAGAAACCCAGTCCTTGGTTGGTTTCTTTTATTCCAGTTCCACTTAGTTTTCTTCCAGACGGATCTGTAGCTTCAATATGAGTCTGTTTATATTGATGAGCCTCATGTTGTTGTTGGTTTTAATCTCCATCAGTTGCTGTCCTTCCTGATACTCTTGTCAGTGTTGAGGTTGTTGGGTTCTGGGCTTTTGCACTGGACACTGGTACCATTCACGAGTCCGATGCTGTTCAGCTGGTTGTCGGAGTAACACCAGCAACACAAACACGACTTGGAGGACATAAAAACAGAGGAAAACAGAAATTTTAGCATGTTTTTATCACTGTTTCTTTTTCCATATCTTGTCTTGTCTCTCATTTATCTCCAAAAAGCCCTTTAACCTCTGAAGTCAAGCCAAAGGTTTATCTTGGGTAACGCTCCCTTGACAGACATTTTCAGAGTGACCTCAGCCAGTGAAGTAGTTGCATACATCAGAAGCGGCTTTTGATAGTGGATCATGGGATTTCATCACAACTGAGTCATGAACAGGGGGTTGAGTTCACCATTTGATTTACAGACCCAGTTAGCTCAAACAAACACCATGTGGGGGGTTTATATATCAAATGTAAGCATGTGTGGAATAAGAGAGAACCTCACCTTGAAGCAGTTTTTGAACTTCTTGCTGACGAAGTAAAGAATGATGGGGTTTATGCAGGAGTTGATTGTTGCCAGATTGATGCTCAGGTAATCCAAGACCAAAAGGAAACTGAAAGAGGTGAAAAGATAAACTGTGAAGAAAGACCAAATCACTAAAGAGTTTCATGAGGTTGCTTCATCTCCTGTTGGAACCAGCTACCAGTTTTAGTCCGTGAGGCAGACAACCTGTCTACT